AATCACGTTAAGTTATGTTAAATAATCATGTTAAGTTACAGGTCAATATTAATAATCATGTTATAATCATATTATATTAATAGTTAAAAAATACAAACAGGATTTGTTTCTATGTAACCACTAACCTGCCAGATTTTAAATAAAAAAGTAACATGAAAGTTAGAGTGAAACTGACTAGAACTTGAAGATAAAGTAACTGTCTCTCTTTTCCTTACTGCAGCCAAGTAAGATGCAAGAAATGGACAAAAAGATCCGTACAAATGGTGAAATGTTACATTGATCTTTAGAATTTTTCTGACTTGAATAATGTTTTAATCAGATGCTATGTTCCTCAGTGTGTACACACATAAGTAAACATGAACTGGTCATGAAAATTTATCCACACGAGACATTGAAAACAAACTAAGTTCTTTTTCTGCCTCAGGATTGCCAGGTGTCCCTCATGACAGCATTTACACAAGGGTAGCATGGTATTTAGCTGCCATCCTCTCCTGTGAACATCTTTTTTTAAGCACAAAACTACTTGCAGCATTACATCACAATGCTTCTCTTCTACTCTCTGCAAAAGGGTAGAAGATTTCAGATGCAGTCATGAAAAAGAGGAGCATGTCTAGGAAGCTGCCTGTGTTGTCAGAAAGACCTTGGAACAGCATGAAAGAATGGCCAATAACCATGCAACAGGATGCGCCATTTCCTGCTAATGCTGCCTGTCCTGGTCATAAGAATGAAGTTTTGCACAAATCTACCCTGACAGGTATGCCAGTGTGTTTTCTTTAGAAAAGGAAAGTATAGGCCTCAACTATTATTATGAAAAAAGTAAAATGATATGTGAAAGAGCCCTATTGATTTTATTTTTTTTCTTGGTGATCAAACTGCATTTCTTTATGTTGTTTTCCATTTCTGTGGAGAGAGGTAGTGTTAATCAGAAGCTAGGCAGAAGGCAGGGAAGTGTGGTACTTTATTGTCAACCTTTTCTGTACCAGGACCCATTTGTAAACATCAGTGGCCAATCACAACCCAGTGCCCTTCACTTCTGACCTGCTGCCCCCTGACCCCAGGCCCCACTGTGTGGGGCAGACAGTGGGTGTGTGGGGCAGAAGGGCCCCAAGCAGCCCTGTGCAGGCTGGAACTCTGCCAGCCTGCAAGGGAAAATCCACAGTATTCCACATTTTTCTCCTTTAAAGGATAATCCATTTTTAAAGTTTGTTCTTGACCCTTTCATATATTCTTGTGACCCACTTTTGGGTTGC